CTACGAAGCTACGTCGCCGCGAAGGAGCCTCTTTCTCGACACCCCCTTTTCCCCGATTCCCCAATCATCAGCGCGAGCATTCAGCTCGGCGCGTGCACTTTTTCGCGATATCTTCACGCGATTCGATAACTCGCGGCGCGAGTAATGAGTTTGCGCGAGCGTACCGGCATTTCCGCCGCCTAACTCGATTTTCGATGCAATTTCTTAGCGAATCGAATTAAAGCCGGGCATTCCGACGGGGAGAACGAATTCGCGCGAATTCGCACCCGCGATGAGGAGCGGAATTATCAAAACTCGACATAATAACAAACGCTACGGAGAACTGACGTTCCATTTAATGCGCCGGAATACTTCCCGAGCGCTGTTTTACGACGCGTCGAAGAAAGAGGGAGACATCTGCGAAAACGAGCTGCGCGCAGAGAGTATTTTTAGAATATCTACTTAGAATATCTACAGACTCTCGTAAGTCGATAAATTTTTTAATCCCACGTATTCTCGGTGCTCTCGCCCGACGCGTCGGAAGAGAAAGAGAGAAGAGAAGGGAGAAAGGTTGGGATCCTATTTTAGGGTCGATAAAAATATATAAATCTTTATCCCCCCGCGATAAAAGTCCGGCGGCACGAGATAAATCGTACGTTCTAACGTTAATAAGGACACGCTTCGCTTTCGATCGTTAATACGACCGAGTAAGCCGAGTGCTTTATAAGAGATTTCCATAATTCGACGAATGAATAAAGTGCTACCCTCCGACGACGACTTCTCGAACGTAACAGGTCTCGGGGAGCGATTTCCCGGGGAATTCTCGCGGCAAGAAAGAGATACTCATTCCGGATGCTCCTCCGCTGGCGCGATATCCTCACTTAATCCGATCTTTTAACCACCCCCTCCGTTTTGCACGGTGACGCCGAGCTTGCCGTACTTGTATATCGGCCCCGCGCTCGCCTGCCAATCTGCTCGCAATCTCACGGGCACATCCGTCGGGAACTCACACGAATTCCGAAGCCCCTCGATTTCGTTGCGTTCGCTCGAGTTTATCGAGCGGACCGAGTATCCCGGAGTATCCGTGTACGCGAACGAGAGCGAGCGCGTCCGCGCGTCCGTTTCCGTGGTCGCTCGAGCTGCAAAAATTTTATGTGGAAACTGCGGAAACTACTCGCGAGACACGATATTCTGGCCCCGTGTAATAGCCCCCCCCCTCTCCCCCGCCGTCACCGACGACGACGACGACGAGATGAACTCCTCGGCTCCGTGGGCGAGGAACGGACGTGCGCTATGCGGGCCGCGCTTCATTTCCAGCGCGAGCTACTTTCCCGTCACGCGTGTTTTTCCGGTTGTCGCATTAGCACCTATCTCCGTCACTCCGCTTCGCTCTTACTCTTTCTCACTTTGTCCGTCTTCTGCTGCGAAAGTTCGGAATGATGTCGTTCATATGAAAGTCCCGAAGGACCGAGACCGCTTCTAGGATGAGAAATTAAAAATCGCGTGTGTACACACACATTCGAGTCGAGGTGAATCTGCATTAATTTTCAGCAACGCTAAATGCAATATAATTAATGGCAGAAACGAATCACTGAAACACTTGAGAAATTGCCTCGGACCTTCTCCCCCGCACAGATTTCTTCCTTCTTCAGATCGTTACGCTTCGCATCGCGATCTTAGAGCGCTTTAAACTACTCCGCAGTTTTTGTAAAAAGTCACGCGATTCTGAGAGCTTATCTTTTGCCGTATCTCAATCGGTCCTTTAAACCGTAGGTAGGGCATAAAGGAAAGAAGACCTCGCAATCCTTATCGGGGTGAAGGCTGACACGCGGTTCTAATTAACTTCGTGCCGGGTTCTTCCCGGGTTTAATCCCGCGGAAAACCGGGTCTTCCGTGTGCACCGGCCAGAGAAAACATCAAGATTCTGCATCTTTCGTTCAATTCCATGAAACCGTTCCCGGGCAAATTGAAAGGATCCCCCCTGTAAGAGCGAGGGCGCGAGCTGAAGATGTAGATTTAATTTTACGTCGTTGTCGTCGCGATGAATTTTCCTCGTCAGCAAAATGCACGGCGGGAAAGCGATCGGACGAGCCCAAGCCGCAACGCGAGATTTCTCCACAACGAGGTGGGCTCTCGCGTTACCTTTCGCAAATGACAAAGAAAAAAGAGAGAGAGAGAGAGAGAGAGAGAGACAATTTATAGGACGAGAGCAATTAATAAATGACACTGTCGCCGACAATATAATCCTTTATTCCGCAGAATTTGAAGGGAAAAGAAACGAGGACGTGATTAATTATGAAGAAGCAAATTAGTATCGGGAGAAACGACGAACCACTAATTAAACGTAGCTTATTCCAATTAATTATCGCCAAGGCGGTTAATTAGTGAAAATCTTTTCGGCGTGCAATGTGAGTTTTGCAATTGGAACTCTCGTAAAAACATGTGAGGGGACTAGAAGACAAGCAAAGAGAGACAAATAGAGAGAGAGAGAGAGAGAGAGAGAGAGAGAGAGAGTGAGAAAAAATATTCATATCAATAATGGAGCGCTTTCTCTCTTTCTTTCTCGGCGCTCTATTCTCGCGCGTTTCAGCAACGGCCCCGTCGAAATTCGTCGAAATTACAATAATAAAGGGAAGGCATAATTATATCGTAACGTGAGTAATTCTCGTTTTTCGTTTCTCGTTACGGCGCAGCCACACAACGATTATTTGGTAGTCCGCGGTTGCGAAATCATTATCTCAGTTTCGTCGACGGGAACCGCGCCCCGTTGGCGTTTCAGTTGATTTCCGCTATGTTCCCGCGGCAAATTACGATGGATATTTTGCAGTCGCGTATAATCACCGTACAGACGAATGCACGTGCACGTGACTGATGGAAGACTACTCGTGGAGATTGATACCGATCGCGCGACCTCCATACTATGAACCGTAAAGATGACTTCGTGACGCTCGCTTTTCCGTTTTCGCTGCGCAAGCGAACGCTGTACACTCGCTTATGCGGACTAATGCTAACGATACTTTATTGTTTTCACTAAAAACGTAGATTAATCGTAGGTGAAATTGGATCGCGGCAAAAATCGCAGAGAGGAAAGTCATGTCGCGCGATAATAAGCCTCTCAACGTACGACTCGCTTTAGCTCTTCTCTCTTTCTCTCCATCCCCTTTTTCTCTCGCTCTCTCTCTCTCTCTCTCTCTCTCTCTCTCTCTCTCTCTCTCTCTCTCGCTCTCTCTCTGTATTTTAACGGCAGCGTCAGCAATCGCGCAACTGCGACTAGATCGCACGTCATCGCACGAGTCGTAGCCGTAATGCGGAAACCAAGCGAAAAGTAATTACAACGCGGCCGCGGAGCGGTCGCAGACGTTCGTCGCGACTTCAATACTCGATTTGTCGGCCGTCGCTTTAGCGCGGCGTGTTCTTTTCGAACTGCCACGGGGCAGCTGGATAATTAGCGCCGCGCGTTGGGCGCTGGTCGTCGTCGCGAGCCGACGACAGCGGTCAGCTGAGAGATCGGACAAAAGTAATCTATCGGAGCACTTGCAAGCGGAACCTCGGAGAACGTCAGACGCCGATTTGTTTCCAATTTTTTATAGTTATTTTTCATGTCAAAATATGAAGAAATCTGTTATCATTTTTAGCTGAAATTAATTTTTTCAATTTTTTCGAAATCTTTCAAGTTTTGCGCTGGTACACTATTTTCTACATATTTAAAACAATATTTCTTAAAAATATATATACCTGATTTGTTGAAACTTGCACACACGTGTCGCCGATTATGAATCAGAACCATTTTGTAAAATTCAAAATGGAGGATCTAATATGGCTGACGTCATTGTTGAAAAGGTGTTCAGTTTTATGCTACATTCGACGTTGCGTAATTTTTTCGGCTCACTATTCAGCGGACAAGCTCATTTTAACGTCAAAATCCGGCAAAAAGCGAACAAGAAATGAACAAAAACAGAATGAACAAGAAACTTCAGAAATTTCGAAAAAATTGAGAAAATTAATTTAAGCTAAAAATGATAACAGATTTCTTTATATTTCGATATTAAAAATAACTATAAAAAACTGGAAACAAATCGGCGTCTGACGTTCCCCGAGATTTACCTGTTAGTCGCCGCGGCGGCTAAGTCACCTCGCAGAGTCCGCGGCATCTATCATCGCGCAGCGCGAACAATCACAGATCAGGACTCGCTTTCACGATTAAAACGGGTCGTTAAGACTGAAAGTAAGACGAATCGCCAGGCCGTGATGGATGACGAGTATAGGTGGCCGTTCGGAGGAGAAGCCTGCGATTTAATTGTCGGCCGCGCGAGCTTCCCTGCCCTGCAGCTTGTTACTCGAAAATGATGTCGCCGGGTCGACACTCGTCGAGTCGATTGTACCTCCCGGTGACTTTGTTTCCGCATCGCATTGTGCGCTACGCGTGTGCCGCTCTTGTATAATCAGATTGTTACGAGAGACTTCGCGCCGACGAATCTGATATCTCAACGTTATGTTGCGTAAAATGCTGGCACGTGGAATATTAATATCACGCTTGCGTGGTTGTTTGTTGCTTCCCGTAAGAATGCTGAAGATTCAGAGAAAAATATCAAGCGACGTTTATAATGTTTAACAGTCGCGAAAGACAATGGGACACATTTTTTATTCGAGAAATTACGCCGAGTTGTTTCTCCTTCTTGGAATTGTGACAATAAGAAGTAAGCGAAGAGTTCAGAAGACGAGTGTCGGGCAGCACGGTTGCAAGCATTACTCAGAAATGTAAGAAAAATGTTGACGTATATATATATATATATATATATATATATAAACAAGTGAAAAAATAAAATAATAAATAACAGATGAAATAACTGTAGAAATGACGATAATGAAAAGAAAAGAAATAATAAGTGGCACGTAAATGAAAACAGGTAAATCGGGCAGTCTCTCATAATCCAAGCTTCAACGGCTGAGTATTAATGCGTACGGTCAACAGCGTTAATTTATTGTTATTAATTAGCCGGCAGCTCTGGTATTGTACTCACTTATATTTTTGTCCCTGTACTGCGGCCGCGCGTCGCCTATGAAACAGACGAGCAGCATCCACACCGCGAGCCAGCACGTTTCCATCTCGAGCTGAAATAAGAAGCGACGCTCTCTGTGGATGGATTTAATTAAGAATTCAGCGAGGGGTGCGCTGCACTTCGCAGTTTCTTTACGACCGCGATGTTACTACGCGATGTTACTACGCGATGTTTTCGAACTCTCGAGCGAAGTTCGTTACGACGGAGGCACTTTGACGTGGCACTCAGCCGGGCCGCTCTGAGATATTGCTGCCGATCGAATTGAATTAATGCGCGGGATCAATGCCCGACATTACAATTTGATATCGCGCGCTTCTCGCGATTCTGAAAAGTACAAGAAATCTTTGACGCAGAGAGAAAGCGAGAGACACAGAAAGAAAGAGAGAGAGAGAGAGAGAGAGAGAACGGCTTCCATCGAAATCTCAGGGAAACGTCCGCTTTAAATTTCAATTAAGACGGGACAAAACATTCATGGGCGGGGGAGGGGGAGGGCGAGGGGGAGTGCGCCTCCTCCCCTTCCCCTCTGGGATCGATGTAAATTCTGGCCGCTTTTGCTCGCTCGAAAGGAGCCGGTCGTCGTCGTCGTCGTTTCCTCGCGGAAACTCATCGTTTTCCCTCTCTGCATCTCTCCCCCTCTCTCACTCTCTCGCGGCTCGTTCCATTACCTTACTTGTTGGAGGTGGGAGTGGAGGACGGGTGAGAGGTAGTTGCCGTGCGCGGCAAAGAGCGCGCGCGAGCGTCTTAATTTATGAAAGTTTTGAATTTACGTCGCGCGCGCGGAGAGCATCTCGCGGCTTCTCCGAGAGTGCAGCCTCGGCGAGGTAAAAACACCGGGGCGAAACGTCACGACTCGATCGCGAGCTTCTCGGCGATTTTGCCCAGGGAGGATCCCTGATTCCTGCGCACCAGTACCTCGTACACGCTTCTAATCGTCGCCGCGAGCAAATTGCAGCGTGCGTTACGTTAGCGATGTGTGCGTGCACAGTTCGACGCGGGAGGAGCAGCGCCTCCCGACGACTGCGTTCGCACATTTACACAGGGTGCGAAATTTCAAACGTAACGAGTAAAAAATGTCGAAAACTATGAAAGATATTAGAAAAAAGCTAAAACACGTTTACCATGATTCCGAAGGAGAGAGAGAATGGCATTATCAGTTTTTTTATTTGGAGAGCATTTTCAAGGTCAGTTGAAGGTCAACTTAATTTTTTTAAATAGAAAGCCCAATTTTTTATTACATCTTCTTCTTCTACCAATTAATTTTAACAACTTTTGTCTGAAACATTTTTCTGTTTGCCTAATATCTTCTGAGATATTTAAGGAAAACTTGGTAACTTCTTCGACATTCAACTTACGATATCTCGCTAATTATTCGTCGGAAGAGAAAATAGTATTAGGCTTTTTTACTTTACTTACTATCAAGCCCTAACTTTTGTTAATTTAATAATTTTGAAATTTCCAAAGGTCGATAAGTTTATATAACTGTGCCGAATCGTCGATCCAGCTCGTAATCGCCGGAGGAATAATGCTCCTTCTTAACCGTCGAAATCGTCGAGAGACGATCCTTTGTGGTAATCGCTCGGATAATCGAAAAGCGCGGAACGCAGATAGCTAGAGAGAAAGAAAGAGAGAAAGATATATACATATAAGATATGTACATATGAAAGAGAGAGAGAAAGAGGAGAGGGAGGGAGGGAGGAAGGACACCGCCGAGCGCGCTTGAATATTTCCGGATTTCTCCGGGTATGCGCGCGAGCGCTCTCTTTACTATATCTCTCTGTGTCTCTTTTTCTCTCTCTCTCTCTCTCTCTCTCTCTCTCTCTCGCGGAGACGTAATGAAATATTTCTTTGAGGATTTCGACCGTGCGCGTGAATATTTCGTTCGACGGGCGTTTTCGCGAGGCTCTTTATGTCAGTTCCCGCGAACATTATTCGCGCCGGTCGTGCCAGACGCGGAAAAATTTCGCGAGACGACGACGGTTTCGGCGGTTTTATCCGCAAAATTAATGGGATTTCGTTTGTCACGACGTGACCGTCGGCCGCTCGCGCGTTCGCGCTTTATCGTCGCAATTCGAAAGAGTACTTCGCTGGCCAAACGTTCTCGTCTCGTTTCGTGAGACGTAATGTCGCGGAGTGTCATGCCGCCGATCGTTCCCACCTGACTGAAATCGCCCGGCAAATTGCTAGCGCGAGGATCATAAAAAGTACCGGCCGACGTTAAAACGGCCGCGTCGAGTTTATCGTCGAATTTGTTTATGCATTTGGTCTCGCTGAGTTTTACGCGACGTAGTGGATATTCGAACAGTCGCATTCCGCCGCGAATTGCGAGAGATCGAATGACATTTGTTGACATTCGCTTCGCCATATAGAAAAAAGTCGAGTATTGTTTTCGCTCCATCATCAGTTGAGTGAAAAATTCACCAAACAAACTCGGAGCTGAACGAGAAGTGTGAAGTTTACGATTGAAAAATGCTGAGATTAGGTTTAGCGAAAAGTATTCTCCTCCCCCGCAAGAAATCATCCCCTAGCAACATCCTTGCGCGGTTGTCACTGGCTAAGAGCTAATTCTCGGCGATTGAATGTTTGAAAGACTCGATGACAAATTTTGTTTAATTCCTTATTGTATTAATTCTTGTAACTGTAACTTTTCGTCGACTGTGTGTACCTTCTACGCTCTAAATTGTGTAAAATTCGAATATCGATGACAGCCATCTTCTTCAGACCATAATCATACTTATCTGATATACACACAGACAGAGGGGAAAAGAGAAGGGGAGAGAGAGAGAGAAAGAGAGAGAGAGGGCGCAAACGTGCCCGAGTGAGTGGCAAACAACGTTGACGCAGCGTATCAAATATACGAGTTGGCAAAGTAGTCCGAGATGCTCTTAGCGCGGCTTAGGCGCCCCCTAAGAGGATGTATCTTAGCAGTTGTTGAGTATACTCCCTTACTCGCTAACGGCATATTGGATGGCCAACGAGAGCGCCATCGTATAATTAATGAAAGTAATTCCCGGGGACCATGCGAGAGCGGAGGAAGCGTGAATTCTCATCGCGGCAAAAATCGATCAAACGAGTGTGCACTCACGATCGAACGCGAGCCAACCACGACTGCGGTCCCGAGGGACTCCGTCTCCCCCCCCCCCCTCCCGCCGTGAACATTGCCCTCAACGACTACAGAACATGATTAAACCTCGCTCCTACGCTGAGCAACCACGGTAACAACAACAACAATAACAACACAAGCAACAACATCAACAGCAATGATCGATCGGCAAAACGCGAGGGGCAACTTCGACGAGCAACCGACCGAAAATCGCAGCCGCCCTCTTCCAGATACCCCGGTCGGCTTACCACGTTCATTTCGCGGAAGAACCGTGTCCAGCGAAGGACAGACATTTCCTCCCCCCGCCTCGGCCTGCTACATATCTCTTCCGGAGGCTTATCCATCGGAGGCGGCCGTTCCCGGGGAAATCCCTAGACGGCCGGCGTAAAAGTTCCTATTCTGGTCGAAAGGGAAACATCGTCTGCTGCTGGGAGTGCAGGTCCTCTCGACCAGGATCATCCCGAGAGCCGAGAGAGTACACCGACACATGCGACCCCCCCGAGTCACACACACATACATGTGCCATGCACACGCACACACGCGGCCGCGCACTCGACGACGGAGTGATACTAGCGCGAGGTGGCAGGCCGCCTTCGAGAAGCCTTCGAGCCTTCATCGATCACTATATAGCTAGCCCGGGGTCAACCTCCACGTATCTCGTTTCATGGTTAGCCGGCTCGAAAATATTCCCTATCCCTTTTCATCAGAGCAGGAAAGGGCGACTTTAGTGCGACCGTCGGCAAGCAAAATTTAGTGCCCGCCCGGGGGTAAATAAAACGTATTCGGGTCGTCGGACCCTCGAGTTCGTGAATCCCCGGATTCACCGAGTCCCGGGATTACCAGCCCGACGAGATGTGACGTACGTGAGAGTCACTTTTGCCAGTCGCTCCCCGGCCCGGCCCGGCCCTTGGAGTCGCGGAAGTGACGATAGTTCAATCGCCCGAGTGCAGGGGAGAGAGCGATCGTATTCCATATTTAATACGATACACGCCATTCTCCCCGATCCCGTGTCCCGTCTAGCCAATACCGAGATTACCGTCAGCGAAATCACGAGCGGTCGCGTAAGCCGCGGGTACGAGTTCCTGAGCAACGTATTACGCGTCGTAAATATTGGGTTGGCAACTAAGTGATTGAGGACTTTAAATAAGAATGAAAATTCAAAATTTTTAATTTGCTTTTTAAAATTGTTTTCAATGCATGTATGCGATACATTGAGCTTCTCTGCAATATCACGTGTTGTGCTATGACGATCTGAATCGATAATGGCCTTGATATGGGTCTCATCGACTTCAACTGCCAGACGGCCAGATCGTTGAGCATTTTTCAATGAAGAATCACAATGAAGAACGAAATCTGGCAAACCAATTTTGACACCGCCTTTCTTTCAAGGCTTCATTCCCATATACGGCACATAACTTCTTGTGTGCTTGCGATGCGTTCTTGCCTTTTCGGAAATAATACAATAAAATATGTCTCAAGTGCACGTCTTGCTCTTCCATTTTTAAATTGGGATAAAAACAAAACTAAACAACTAATCGATATAATTTTTGTATTTAAATGAAAGGTAGAAGTCCAAACAATAAGAAAAAAATATAGGTTAGGTACTTTGAACACGTTAACGAAACAAAAGAGAGTGTAAAATCCATCTGTCGACAAAATCCGCAATCACTTAGTTGCCAACCCAATAATATCTCACACGAGACGCCGAATCTTGATATAATCGCGACGCAAAACTGAAGAAACGATACCGACATCACGTCGGTATAAAATTTCTCAATTCTTTTTTCCAATACACCCGAAGTCGAGATGTCATTTGTGACAATGAGAACGAAACGCGAAAGTGTACGTAAAGTGGAAAATTCCAGAGAGTTAATCTCGATCTTTGCTCGGAAATGGGAGGAAAGTCTTTAGAAAGAAGAAAAGAAGAGCAATAAAGAAGTAAATTTCTTATA